CAGTAGGAGAGGTTAAAAAAAGCAAAAGATTCATAGGATGGATGAAGCAGAAGCAGGATGATCCTTGCTCTGCAGATCCTCTAGTACAGCGTTCCCTCCAGCATGGGGAAAAGTTAGCAGCACAGTAGTGACATCACTAAGGCAAGTTATAGATGATTCGATTTTCTTTCCTGTAACCCATGGTTGCAGGAAAGAAAATCTTTCGATTCCCCCACCAACTCAGTCAGTGTTCATGGGGGAATCCCTCATGCAGTGCTATTGTGTTCTGCTGGCCTTATAGCCCCAGCAGTAACTGAATGTAAAAAATCCGACAGGCTGGTTGTATCCAAATTGATCAATGGATTTACTTGGGTACAACCAGCCAGCCCATAAATGGATCGAATTTCAAACGGTCACTGTTGACCCAGCTGGGATTCAATCCATCTATGGCTGGCTTAAAGTGGAGTTCCACTTAAGCTTTCAAAAAATAAAAGTCAGCAGCTACAAAAACTGTAGCTACTGACTTTTAAAAAACAGCCACTTACTTGTCCCTCGTTTCCACGGTGTGTCCCCTGCAGCCCGTTTTACCGGCTGTCTTCTCTCCCTGGGCGCCGGCATCTTCAGTGTGCGCACCCGGCTGTGACAGCTTGCGGCTTCACATCCAGGTACGCGCTGTGCATGCACGAGTAGCACTACGCTTCCTGAATGGTCCTGTAGTCTTCTGGGACCTGTCATGTGTCCCAAAAGACTACAGGAAGGGAGGACACCTTTCACTTCCGATCGCCTAGGCGATCAGAGTGGGTACCTGTCAAATTCGGGTACCCGCTCCCCCCCCCCCCAAAGGTGCCAATCCTTAATGGGGAGCGGGGGACCAGTCTTTAAAGCAGAACATCCCTTTTTGGGTGGAGCTGCGCTTTAACTCTCTGATGAAACTGGCAGTCAAAGACAGCAGTGTCTTAGGGCTCACACTGCAGATAAACAGCCATGAATCTACAGAACGCTAAGAAGTGCTTTGGTGGTTTTCAGGAAGAAATCTAGACAAAATATACTTTTTCCAGGGTACTCTTTAAACAAAATTAACATTTCTAGATGTTCCCTATAAGTTAACAAATCATCAGGTCAGTTTAGGTCCACTTTAATGTCAGAAAGTTCCAGGAAGGGTTTAGATAAATCTACAGGTAAAGAGGAAAATCCCTTTAAAAAATAAATTAAATCAGTCTTGAAATATTATAAAGTGGCTGGAAATGCATACATCATCAACTGTTCTCCCAAGCAGGGTGGGCCAGGGAGCGTTGGCCCGCTTACTGAAGATGCCTACAAACATATCAAACGACCCCAGATCAGACTGTAAGAGGCTGGATTGGGTGCATGCCGTCTAACTCCTGGAGAAACATTTGCAAACTGTGAAGAGTGTAATAAAAGGTGGCTTGCTTTGAAAAACAGATTTAATGTGACAAATCCATTTGCATTTGAGGATGGACTGGAACACACTGCAAAGCAAAAAGGATTATCCAAGTCCAGCGAGTTCCTTTTAGTTTGGATCTGAGAAATGCTGCCAAATGACTGGAATTGTCATGCCGACCATTTTTTTTTCATCGTACTTAGTAAAAGCTGCTGGCTGTATTTAGGAGTGCCCCAGCAGCACTTCAATTTATAGAGCAGCAGAGAGCAGATGACACGCCAAATAGAGACACAGATAAATATAGATGTGTGTTCATTTTGTTATGTGCTGATATATATTCACGTCACAGGGTTAGGCTGTTTACAACACTTGTGCCTTAAAGAAACATATAGTACATGGGTTTGGGAACTAATGCTGCTTAAAGTGAATGCCATGTGGAAACGCATTGTAGTACAAAAAAGCAGCGCAAGCAAGCCTGCAAACAGTTTTGTTTGTGGTTCATACATGGAGCACCATCAATCTGGTTATTGGCCGACACGTCAGCTTAGATTTAGGGCTCTGCCACACGCTCTGTCCCACAATCCAATCACAGGGGTACAGCAGTCAACAGCATGTTCATTACATTTTTGGACCTCTAGAGGACTGTGCAGCAAAGATTAAAGTCCCACTGAGAGCACAAAAAAACATGTGCAGGCATTTGCTGGCACGTTTTAGGAACATCTCTATGTAAATGGTGTAAGTATCTACACATATTTCACATAACGAGGTAATTTAAAAGCTCACCCCATACATCAAATAAACATGGCATTTAGGAGACATTGATATTATGCATCATCAAAGTCCAATCAATTTAAAGTGGAACTTTAGTCAAAAAATTAGGTCCCTCAGACCCTCAGGCTGGCCCCTTTTGAAGTTAGAGCTATGTAAAACATTCAAATTAAGTGCCTATACTGTTTAAAATCCAGTAATACACGGTCTTACCCTGCTCTGCACATGCTCAGTTGATCTCTATTTTTAGGCACTGTGTCGAATTTGTAGAGGCCGATCTGCTGACACCCTAAAGATTTACTGCTGTTCAGGGGCTCAGGGCTTCAGCAAAATGGCAACCTCCAGTAAGAAACAGCAGGAAAAATGCTGGAGGCAATTTACAGCACTCACTAATTTTGGTAACAATTATTAATGAGGAATGTATGTTTCTCGCTAAAGAACATTATTGTTATCAATTTGCCAGAAGTAAAGTTCCACTTTAACTTAATTTTTAGTTGTATATAATTATCAAAATGAGAATGTAGTCTCTTGTGAGTCATTTTAGGTGGTGTTTAAACCTCTCAGTACATAATACTTCATGCAGAATGCAGTGAAGAGGATGAAACAGTGGAGGTAATATTTTTTTTTAAATGATCAGTGGTCTGCATAAATACACAGCAAAACTACCTATGAGCGGAGTAAGAAATCCAGTGTTTCTCCACCTATTTTCCGTCAAGGTGCCCTTTAAAATTCTGCACAATCTGCTAGGCATCCCATTCTAAAATATAAAAAAACGAAACTAATAGTTTTACAGAATGCAGCACCAGCCACACCTGTAGGACACACAGTTTTATTCTCCCTTTGCATACTGACTAATGTACTAGTGTTTCTTTTCTCCCTCACTCAGGTAATGGGACCCCAGTGATGACGGAGAGGCGCAAACAAAGATACTATGCAGGGGCCCAGTGTCCACCGGCAGCTGGAAGGTTGTAATAATGCACAATTAAAGCCTGTGCCTTTGTTTAACTAAAAAGCTTCATCCACCCACTGGTTCGTATACAATTTTTGGGCAATTTGTATTGCCAAGGCCCCTGTGGAAACCTGAAGGTACCCTGGTTGAAAATGGTTGCTCTAGTCTAATCCAATGTCCACCACTACAGCCATACAAACACATGGGCAGAGTGGGATCACTGTTGGGTGGAAGCAGATTAACCTATTAATATGTAATTGAGTTCTGGGAAAAAACTGACGGAACAAACAAATAGTAAAAACTCTATGCAGACACTGTTCTTGGCAAGAATCAGACCAAGAATCCCAGTTCTTTATGGAAATGGTGCTAACTTCTTAGCATTCATCAACTTTATATAGACACACAATTAAAAGGGAATCAATCATAATTGCCTGTGTGGGAAGGCTTGGGTAAAAGCAGTCCATCCCTGACTCGCTGCTGTATGCTAGATCCAGGGCAGTGAAGCTGAACTTATCATGGAATCACTGCATTTAGCAGGCAGTTTTGAGTTAGGGGATGGCTGCTTCCATCAAAATCTTCTTACAAGGGTATGCCGCTTGATGTCAAATTTATGTCCTCTTGGAATTTAATTTGCACCCACAAGTACATGACAAATGAACAACACCAAATATAAATGACCAGTTCTGGAAATTTTTTCCTGACTGAAGTTCTCATAAGGTGTGGTTCAGAGCCTTCTGGGAGTGTCCAGATTAAAGCGAACGCTTACTCAAGAGTGAAAAGTAGAGCGCATCCTCCTCCTTATTTTGGTGGCCCTGAAGGAGATTTGCCTATCCTTCAGTCCATGGCAGAGCCATGTGATCTGCTGAGGTCCTAACACAACAGAGCAAGGCCATACATGTGAAAAAACTCCCTGTTTAATACAAATCGACTCTGCCATTGTTGTCATCTACTAGGAGAACTGAATCCCAAAGCAATACTTGAAATTTGGAGCATGGTTTAGTTGTTTACGGTCAACCTTAGAATCGTGCCCATACCATTGGTAATGTATGTGGTTTTGAAAAAAATGATAGCATACAGGTTTAGAATTAATGAACCAGTAAATAAATTACTACACATCTGGATTTCTCAATTAGAAAACTGCAGCAGGTATGCAAGATATACAGAGGGGAAAATTCTGGCACTCAAGAAAAGATCTGAGGCCAGGTAACAGTTACACAATGAGACCGAAATTCAAAATTTCTATCAGTCAAGGTTGACTATGACCCACCAAACTATCCATCCCACAATAAATGACTGCACAGCTACACTTGTCCATATTCCATGGAAAGCCATTTTTTTGTATCAGTGCTAAGTATGCACTAATATAATCTATAAGTACTATGTATAGGATAGTGTACCTTTTACCATAAAAAGTTTGATCCCTCAAGGAGTTCTGTGACCATAGTTATCATGAAGACTACACAGCTCTGTCCTCTGCCACTTACATGATACCCTCCACTCTAAGGCTTGGCTCACACCAGCTACATTGGGCAGCGTCAGTCACTGTCGACTAATGCAGTCCCAAAATAAGGACACAGCAATGTTCCTTATGTAATAGGGCTTCAGTTAACAGCAACTTATTCCCTTGGTGCATAGTGAAAAAATAAAACAGGACATGTTGCATTTTTGCACAGAGCAGCGTATAAAATGATATAGAAAGAAAAAAAGCAAGGACTGCAATAGACATTAACAATGCATTGCAGCACTTGTCAGTTGACACTGCACACCAGTGCATGCGTTTTGTGCAAAATAAAGCACGGTGTGTGACATACACACACACACACGGTTGTGCCTGCAAAAAACCCACTGGAATGTTATAAATGCCATGACACACAATGTGTAGCCCATGCTGCCCCCACCAACCTTGCTGGTGTTTCGCCTTTTGGTTCCTCTGCGCTCTAGCATACAGGACAACTTGTTGAACCACGTCCAACTGCTCCTGCAGCTGTGGGAAATGGAAATCGGTGCATTCCTGGCAGACCGTGGCAAAATCTGGACACAACAAAAAGGGGAAAAAATCCACATAAATCACTTTGGGTATGTAAGGATTTTTAACAAACACAAAATATAGGCAACCATTTTTAAGACAGAAGAAGACTGCCAATAATGAGACAATTGGGCTTCAACCATTGGTTTAAAGGGTAGCAAGAAAATATGTAGGCCACCATTGCTGACCTTTCCTTTTGAAAATGCTAGCTGTCTGGTTGGTATTTAGTGCCAATGGCTTCAATACTTGCCAGGAGTTCTGCCTGAAATAAGTATGCCTGTTGTGGGTTAGTATGAAGAAAGTTCATCATTGGCTGTATTTTGCTAACTACAGCTTTCCTAGAAATGTAAAAGATACATTATGGCTCCATATCTGTACGACAGACAGCTACACATCTATCAGTCTAAAGCCTGGTACACATGGGCCGAATATCTGCCAGTATCAATTGGTTCAACAGAAACCAGCCGATATTCTGCCAGTATGTACAGCAGCCTGTCCAGCTTCTGTCGAATGGTCATGCTGGAAAAGTGTGTTCTGGTGGGGAGCAGTCCCCCTGTCAGAACACAATAGTTCAGCAGGTAGATCACTGTACTAACATTACTTAGTACAGCCCATTGGGTTGAGTGAACTACCCCTGCGTACCAGGATTAACAAGGGATTTCTTTCACGTAGGAGAGATTTCCTCTGTTAACACTGTTGCGTCTACAGGGCTGGAAGTGAATGGATATCTCCCAAAAAGAACAAAGAAAGCAAATAAAGTAACTACACAGAGCTTTGTAACAATTCCTTTCTATCTCCAAAACCAGATAAAAAGCTTTGGCTTTAGATGTACTTTTACACTGACAGTCTGAGATTAATGGTTTCATCACTTCTCATTCTCACTCAATAAACTGATGTCAGCTTTTTGAAATTCTAATTTTGTTTAAAAAAAATGTACTGAAGATTGTTACCTGCTTTTGTTCTGGAGATACTGAGAATCAACCAAATGCGATTGTTGATTTAAAAAAAAAAAAATGATTGGCAAGGCGGGGGAGTCTTTCACAAGATCAGTCCCAGGGTTGTTATAAAGAGCACAGCACTCCTGACATCCCTTAAAGCACAGGTGTCAAACTGGCGGCCCTCCAGCTGTTGCCAAACTACAAGTCCCATGAGGCATTGCAAGATTGACAGTTAAGAGCATGACTCCCAAAGGTAGAGGCATGATGGGACTTGTAGTTTCACAACAGCTGGAGGGCTGGCAGTTTGACACCTCTGCCTTAAAGGATAAGTTCACCTTTAGACAAAAAATAATAAATGCACATTTTTTTTGCAGGTAAAAAAAATGTGCATGTATTATTTTTTGTTGTTAGGAGCCTCTAAAGCATTGTACCAGTGATCAGCAGATCACTGATGCCATGCAGGTCTCCTGCAGACTGCCAATGTATCTGCTTGCTTGTACATCCCGTATGAGCAAGCCGATACTTCTGACAGGAAGAATCAATGAACTACCACAGAGATCACAGCGCCGTAGTAATTCAAAGAGGACTACAAGCCGAGAGCCACTAAGGCTGTTGGGATCTGTAGTCCATTCATTCGTAGAGGACTGTGAATGAATGATGCAGCCTTGTGGGCGGAGTCCCGCACAGCCGCGCTCTTTTTGAAAAGTGATAGCTAGTACAGGAACTTCTCCCCATACTTCTCTCATAAGAAGAGGGGGTGACAGCTGCAGGCTCGGGGACATGTTACACCCTATAAATGGATGGAACATGTAACATGTTCCCAAAGGTGAACTTATCCTTTAAAAAGTGTAATTACCAGTGCAATATACCCCAAGGACACTGCCGGGACTGCATACCTTCAATAGTTCAATTTTTGTGCAGCTATGAATGTGGTCACATACATATTTTTCAAAGACACTATTGGCTCCTTTCCATAGGACAGGACCTGATTTTAGATCTGATGAACTTTCAATTACCTTCAGTGAAATGCTAGATAAAGGTTGTGTTTTTACTCAAAAATGGGAATTAGGATTCAGTGAAAGCATATCCAAACCTAAACACAGCTTACCAATACTTACATTTGGTGGCTGCATTAGTTTTCTTTTTTCCTTTATTTTCGCCTGATGATCCGCACAGTAACATACAACCTATCCTAGGGTGGCGATGCTCACTTACTGCACTATATCTCTAATGGGGCAGTGTCGTCACCCTAGGCTGTCCTCCCTGGACTACAAACACCTCCCCAGCCTTTCATCACCTTTGTGAGGGTGCTTTGTAGAATAAAGTTGGGAAGGCTGATAAGATTGTTTGATATTTCAGTTCAGCTAATGTCTGGCAGAAGCAACAGTTTTTTATGTACTTGCAGAAAAATGCTCTCAAGCTGAAAAAAATGAAAACTTCTGCAGCCACATCCATCTAAGGGCTAGTAGGCTGCAATATGATACATTTTTGATCTTGTGTTTAGGTTAACTTTATAATCACTGCTAGGATTACCTCTTTTGATGCCACTGTAAGAATTAATGCGGTTATCCACCAACAAGACTAGACCACACAATGATGCCGAATACAAGGAGAGCGCAGTCTGCAGTCTGTGCAGTTTAACTCCACTACGATGATTGCGTTTATGTCTGCAGAAATCTAGCATGTCCGCTCTCAGCAGCCTCAAATTGTGCATGGTCTTCAGCTGAGCCCCTGCGGAAACAGGAAAATGTCACACACTAAAGAGGGCTGTCACCCCATCTCAGCAAATCACATTCCAGGTCTCATTGATTTTATTTAAATGGGAAACTGAAAGCTGGAACCTCTCTAGTTGTTACAAACAGCAGTGCATGTTCTCCTTTGCTGCAGTTCTATAAAGCAACCGACAATGCCTGTGATCTGTTAATTTGCAACTAGAGAAGAACCCCGGGATTCCATTTCCACCTTCACAGTCAAATTTTAAGAAACATCCACTACATGTTTGTTATGTGTTGACATTCACAGAGCATACCTAAAAATATATAGATTTGTAAAATAGGTTTGACCTTTTTAGTTGATAATTTGGAGCTGATTTGTACAAAGGACTATATAGGCTGCTTGTTTTCTTCAGAATAGTTTGCAACGTGCAATTAGGGCAATTAAGTAGGAACAGATTTTTTTTTTTTTTTTTTAAGTGTATTACCATACAATCTATCCCCCCCAAGCCTTGAGACCTTCAACCCATTGTTAGGACAGACGGTTGATTTACTAAGCCCTCATGCATACTGGACGTTTTTACAGCGGCTGTTTTTGGCTTTTGACGGTTTTTTCTACAGCTAGCAAAACCCCCCAGCATGTTATCCTATGCGTTCATGCACACAGACTGCAATCATTTTTTGGCTGCAAAAAAAACCCAGGACTAAAAATCCAGTTTTTTAGCTGGAAAAATGCTCTAACGCTGAAAAACATGGCAAAAACACAGTAAAACGCCGCAAAATGGTGTTTTTGGATTTTTTTTTTTACATAAAAAAATTTCTTTTTGATAAAAAAAGCTACAAAACGCAAACACGGAAAAATGCGGGAAAACACAGCTAAATGCTAATGCAAAAACTCTTAAAAAAAGGCTGAAAAACTCACGTTTTTGACGTGACTTTACACAGCCAACATTACCAGCGTTATCAAAACGTCCCGTGTGTATGAGGACTAAAAGTGGGGAATCAAACTCTGGTTCAGCTGTGCATGGTAGCCAATCAGCTTCTAACTTCAGCTTGTTCTATTAAAGTAGAAGTACAGCCAAAGCTCTTTTTGGCTGTACTTCTCCTGTGGGTGCAATTTGTTCTGCACTCCTGTGACCCGATTTCAAATGACAGCTGAATCGGGTCACAGGGGCTGAGCAGACAATGGCGGTCATGTTCTCACACTTGGAGCCAGTGGGGGACAGATACAGCATCAAACTGATACTGCATCCACCTAGGTAAGTATAATTGGGGGTGGAGACACCCATACTTTAAGCTTTGGAAAATAAAAAGACCTGGAAGCTGATTGGTTTCTATATAGAGATGCACCAGATTTTGCACTCTCCAGTTTCAGTAAATCAACCCCTCAGGATCTCAATTTGTCTGTGAATTTATATGAGCTCTAACAGACATTCCAGCTTAGAGAATAACCAGTTGCTGGCAAATGGCTTCTCTCTGGAGAGGGAAAGGAAAGATGTTGAATGTCTATGCTTGCATCCCTATATCCCTAGTACATGGTTTTGTTTTGTGCACAAACCGAAAACACTGCTTAATTCATTTTTAATATATCAAGAAACCCCACCAATCCATCCATGTCTTGATGCTTTATTTTGTCGAGAAATCACTTTGAAAAACTGCGGCCATTTTGAGTAAGGGAAGATGATTCATGTAGCATTTACTTCCTGGATTCCATCTGCCCTTAGCTCAGGCATGCAGAAAGGAGGGTGTGCTTAGCTAAAAAAAAAAAAAACCCTCCTCTCCTCCTGAAGACTTCTGGGATGTATGGCCTAGGACTGGAAACCAGGAAGTAACTGAAGAAATGTAAAAAAAAAAAATGTAAAACAAGTAAATATGATATACATTCCTGTCTATTTACTAATGCTAGCAGCATAACGATTAAAAATAGTCAACATTACTTGAGATAGTGATGTTCCACTTTAAAGTCGGGATCTCAGCAGAGTGTGGACCAGCTGAGTGATGTGAGATGACAGCGGGCTATAGCCTGCTGTCAGCTGAATACGAGTCACAGGCGAGCACAACAAACTGCACTCCTGTGATCCACAGAAGTAGCACCAAAATAGCTTTGGCCCTACTTCTCTTTAATGCCCATGCTTTTGGAACTGGATGTTCTGCAAATTCATATAGGTGTGATGGCCAGGTATTCACAAATTTTGCCATACACTGAAGCTCCAAAAAAATGAGGTGATGTGGGGAAAGGGGAGCCAAGCATACACATGCTGCATGTATGAACTTTTTTAAACCTCAGCCACAGGCAGATCGCCGATGATAAACACATTGCAGTGCCCCTTCTGCATCCAACACTGAATGTGAATTAAAATGCCTTACCCAAGTGAATAGTAAAGCTCTCCTCAAGCTGCCCATGTTCCTCATACAACGAGCGGCTGGACTCTGTGGATTCCTGAAGGTGGCTCTGCTGGACTTTAATCTCCTCACTGTGGAAAATAAATAAAACTTTATTTTTTTAAATGTCCTGCTACAATTTACCAAGACCCACGAGCTGAATGGGAAAACAAATCTATTGCTAAACATAGAAAATCGACTGGAATTCGAGACAAATATACAGTGCTGTGAAAAAGTTTTTCCCCCTTTCCTGATATTTTTTTTTTATTTGTCAAACTTAAATGATTCAGATCATCAAACAAATTTTAAAATTACACAAAGGTAACCCTAGTAAATACAAAATGCAGTTTTTAAATGATGATTTCATTTACTAAGGGAGAAAGGGTGTTCAAACCTGCCTAGCCCTATGTGAAAAAGTAATTGCCCCCCAAACCTAATAACTGGTTGTGCCACCCTTGGCGGGAACCACAGCAATCAAGCGTCTGTGATAACTGACAATGAGTCTTTCACATCGCTGTGGAGGAAGTTTGGCTCAACTCTTCTTTACAGAATTGTTTTAATTCAGCCACATTAGAGGGTTTGAGTACAAATGGCCTGTTTAAGGTCATGCCACAGCATCTCAATCAGATTTAAGTCCAGACTTTGGCCAAGCCTCACCAACACCTTGCTGGTGCGTTTCCAATCATTGTCCTGCTACATAACCCAAGTGCTCATGAGCTTGATGTCATGAAATGATGACTGGACTCTCTACTTCAGGATTTTTTGGTAGAGTGCAGAATTCATGGGTTCATCATTTTATGGCAAGTCATCCAGGTCCTGAAGATGCAAAGCAGTCCCTAACACCATGTATGACTGTTGGTATGATGATCTTTTTTATGAAATGCTATGTTAATTTTACCCAGATATAACAGGATGAACACCTTCCAAAAAGTTCAAATTTTGTCTCATCAGTCCACATATTTGCCCAAAAGTCTAGGGGATAATCAAAATGTTGTTGGCAAATGTGAGACGAGTCATTGTGTTCTTTTTTAGTCAGCAGTGGCTTTGGCCTTGGAACTCTCCCTTTGGATGCCATCTTTGCCCAGCCTGTTTCTTATTGTTGAATGTTGAACACTGACCTTTACTGAGGCATGTGAGGCCTGTAGTTCTTTAGATGTTGTTCTGGGTTCTTTTATGACTTCCTGGGTGAGCTGTTGTGCTCTTGGAGTAATTTCAGTAGGACAGCCTCTCCTGGAAAGGTTCACCACTGTTCCAAGTTTTCTTCATTTGTGGATAAAGGCTCTCAACGTTGTTTGCTGGAGTCCCAAAGCCTTAAAAATGTCTTTGTAACCCTTTCCAGACTGGTCTTGAATTTCTTTAGATTGTGGCATGGTGTGTTGCTTTTTGAGATCTTTTAGTGTGCTTCACATTGTCAGACAACTTCTGTTGTAATCAGGCCTGGGTTTGGCAAGTGAAATGTAACTCAGTTTTCCCAAAAATGTGGTTAATCCTAGTTCATTCAAGGTTTACCAAGGAGGGGAGGGACGCAATTACTTTTTCACATAGGTCAGGCATGTTTGGACAGCTTGTTTTCCATAATAAATTAAATCAACATTTAAAAACTGCATTTTGTATTTGCTCGGGTTAGCTTTGTGTAATATTAAAATTTGTTTGATGATCTAAATCATTTAAGTGTGACAACAAAGCATAAAAAAAAAAAACTAAACACACAGGAAAGAGGCAAATACTTTTTCACTATAAGTAGCTACTTCAGATGAAGAAAATGTTGCTAATGCTGAAATTATTAAAGACATGATGTTTCCTGGAATTTGGGTGCAAAGAAAAAAATCATACAATAAATACTATGGGGGGGTTTACTAAAACTGGAGCACTCAGAATCTGGTGCATGGTATCCAATCAGCTTCTAACTTTAGCTTGTTCAGTAAAGCTGTGACAATAAAACCAGGAAGCTGATTGGTTTCTATGCAGAGCTGCACCGAATTTTGAACCCTACAGTTTTAGTAAATAACCCCTATTTGGTAATTAAGGCACATATGGATTTGTAATGAATATATTCTGGATGCCATTCTGCACCTGTCTTTGTAAATTTCCCCAAAAGTGCACAGAACAAGTGAATTTACTTCAATGTGTTCAGTTATTTCAGAATTTGAATAGATAGCTTTTTGATTGGCTGCTATGCATCACTGCATTTCAAAATACTTCCACATACTGTACATCCACTGTGTCCAACCTGATGAAGCTGTTGTTGGGATTCTTGAGGTCCTGGTGTAACTTTATTACCCACTCCTGATACTCTTGCTTCTGGATGGTGGACAACTGCTTCAGCTCTGTAATCCACTTGTTTTCCAGAATCTGGAAAACACAAAGCAAAAAAAAAAAAAAACACAAAAGAAAAATCAGCTAGTTTAAAAAATGTAATCAGATTTAAAGAAACCTTTTCACTTTGCCCTCAATGGGCAAGGTTACAGGGACACTTATGTGAATGGCATGCATTAGAAAAGTACAGTTCAACAACATATACATTTTGACTTGATAAGTTTTTATAAAAAGGAAAAAAAAAAAAATCAGCAGAAATTGCCTGTGTCAAGCTCATGGTGTAAAGATGCTACTGAGGCTTAGGGTCAATTCACATCAGAACGCGGTGTGGAAAACCTGAGTTTTGCATTTACCGCATTAAAAAAGTACAGTGTGTTCCTTTGCAATTGAACCGGCCCTTACTGATCCTAGTGGCTATATGGGGCCCCTGAGGTCTTGTGTACATCATTTCCATTGCACCATGAGCTGGACACAGGCAATTTCAATGTAGATGGTGCTAGGTTTTGATAATAAATGTCATGCAACTTTTACTAATTCCTGCCCCCCCTGCTGCTTTGTTTTTTTTCACATGCTCTGACTGGACCAGTCCCAGATCTCTCACTGAAGTGTGGAAAAAATTGTCTTTCTTGTATTGCATCTGAATTACAGACATTTATATAGACTTTCATTGTTCGTTTATAACATTTAATTTCTGGGATAGGAATACATTTATGAGCACTGAGTGATCAAATGTGCACAATTTTGTTCATATATATATATGTCTGGTTGTTTTTCTCTTTATTGTTTGATACTGAGATTTTTCTGTAATAGTTACCTGCTGCGATTCAAAATGTTGTGCTGCAACTGAGTTTACATCTTGGTCACTGAGGGACTTGCCCAGTTCTTGCATCACTTTGTTCATCTCTAATCCTTGGCTGTGATAACAATAAACAATCATTATATTAGTGCCATTGTACTTGAAGAATGGGATACTGTGGGTATAATTAAGTTTACAGACTTACAAAATTTAAAGGAGAAGTACAACCAAATCTTTTTTGGCTGTACTTTTCCTATGGATCACAAGAGTGCAGTTCGTTCTGCAATCCTGTGACCCATGGAAGCTTTGGTGCATGAACAGAACTATGATTAAAACTGGTATTGCTGAATCTTGGCTTCATTTTTCACATGACTGGGCCATTAATATTCCTGGTTATGTTATCTTTCAGAAAGTCTGGCTAAAAAGGAAAGGTGGTGGTGTCTGTCTCTATGTGAGAAGTGATCTCAGAGCGAGTGTGAAAAAGGACCTAGTTGATGGAGAATGTGATGAGGCTGAAGTATTATGGGTGGAACTGCACATGGGGGTGCGTACTACAAAGGTAATCATTGCAGTTTGTTATAAGCCTCCCAGTGTTAATGAGGAAGTGGAGACTCAGCTCCTTGCACAGATCGAAAGAGCTGGGACAGTGATAATAATGGGGGATTTTAACTACCCAGAAATTGACTGGAGTAATGGTACTGCAGGAACAGTTAAAGGGCAACATTTTTTAAACCTACTACAGGACAATTTTATGGTATAGTTCATAGAGGCCCCAACTAGGAATGATGCTCTGCTGGACCTGGTAATCTCAAACCATGCAGACCTTATTACGAATGTCCATATAAAAGAACATCTGGGTAGCAGTGAGATTTCATTTATTGTTAGCTGTAAACAGCAAGCACAAACGGGAAAAATAAAAACGCTCAATTTTAACAGAGCTGTTTTTCCAAGACTGAGTGCTGCTCTCCAAGACTTAGACTGGGAGGGAATATTGGCATCAATGAACACAACACAGAAATGGGAGTTTTTCAGAAAGACTGTACGTGAACACACTGCAAAATATATTCCTATAGGCAACAAGTTTAAAAGGCTAAAAACAAACCTATGTGGCTTATGGCCAAAGTTAAAGACAATAAGAAAAGAGCTTTTATTAACTAGAAAAATGAAAAGGAACACTATCATTGTTTAAACATTACAAAGATTATAACAGAGTATGCAAAAAGGAAATAAAGGCCACAAAAATTGAAAACAAAGGACAGACTGCAAAGGATAGCAGGGCCAACCCCAAAAAATTCTTCAAATATATTAATAATATAGGTTCGGTCCGAGCATGTAGGCCCTTTACAAAATAATCGAGTGGGTGACTGGGGACAAAGAGAAGGCAAATTTATTAAATACCTTCTTCAGCTCTGTGTATACAAAGGAGCATGGGGGAGTTCTGGTCCATAATGGGCATGGTATTGACACAGCTCCAGATGATCCACATTGGCTCACAATTGATATGATCCAAAAATATTTAGACAGAATAAAGGTGAATAAAGCACCTGGACCGGATGGCATACACCCACGGGTTCTTAAAGAATTGCTTCTAATTTTTAGGGACTCTTTAATGACTGGCATAGTACCACTGGATTGGAGTAAGGCCAATGTGGTGCCTATATTTAAAAAGGGGTCAAAATCTTTACCAAGTAATTCTAGACCTGTTAGTTTAACTTCTATAGTTGGGAAGATACTGGAGAGTTTAATAAAATACCACATAGATGAGTTCTTGCTGGAAAAAAATATTTTAAGCAACAGACAGCATAGATTCATGAAAGGCAGAAGTTGTCAAACAAATCTGATTTCTTTTTATGAGGAGGTGAGCAAAACCTTGGACAGAGGGGTGCCGGTGGACGTGGTATACTTGGACTTTTTGCAAATCGTTTGACACAGTTCCCCACACACGGCTAATGTGTAGGGTAAAGTCTATGGGCCATATGTAAATGGATAGAAAACTGGCTAAAAGATCGTATTCAGAGAGTAGTGGTTAATGATTCATACTCTGAATGGTCTAGGGTTGTCAGTGGTGTACCCCAAGGTTCAGTGTTTAATATATTTACAAACAATATAGGGTCAGGGATTAAAAATCCCATTTCAGTCTTTGCAGATGACACCAAGCTGTGCAGTGGAATAACGTCCTTACAGGATGTCTCCAACTTACAAGCCGACCTCAATGTACTGTTTAATTGGACAACTATGTGGCAAATGAGGTTTAATGTTGATAAATGTAAGGTTATGCACTTGGGGGTAAGAATATGCATACATCATACATACTAGGGGGGTACAACTGGGGGAATCAATGGTGGAGAAGGAGCTGGGAGTTCTGGTAGATCACAAGCTTAATAATGGCATGCAATGCCAAGCTGCAGTTTCTAAAGCGAGCAAAATCCTCTCTTGTAAAAAAAAAGTTATAGACCTCAGAGAGAGAGACATCATATTACCCCTGTACAAATCATTAGTAATACCTCATCTGGAATATGCAGTTCAGTTTTGGGCACCAATTCACAAAAAGAACATTGGGGACTGGAGAAAGTGCAGAGAAGGGCAACCAAACTGATAAGAGGCATGGAGGAGCTCAGCTATGAGGAAAGATTAGAGGAACTGAATTTATTCTCTCTTGAGAAGAGGAGATTAAGGGGGGAGATGATCAACATGTATAAATACATCAGTGGTTCATATAGTGAACTCGGTGTAGAGTTATTCACCCTGAGGTCATCAAAGTCTAAAGTCTAAAGAACAGAAAACTGGCCCTTTATTTAAAAGTTTGGAGACCCCTGTTATAAAATATACACAGTGAGAAAGTCTACAGTAGCAACTCGCAAGCTCTGTATAGTTTTATGATTTAGCAAAACATAACCTGATAGGAGTTTTAGGGTGCATTCACACCTGCAAAAGCACCCAAACTCCCATTAGATGCAACAACCCCACCGGGGATTCCTGCATTTTGCTGCAGGAGGCAACCGGCTCTTGCAGCTAATCTGCACCACTAGGATGTAATCGTTCATGCAGTCATCAGCCCTAGACTCAGACTGCCTGCGTCCGGGGCTGATCACTCGCACGTGATCACTGCATAAGCAATTACATGTGAGTGTCAGTGATTAGCTGCTGGAGACAGCAACCTCCCACTGCTTTCAATGGGGCTGCTTCCTGCAGATAACTATGGGAATCCCAGCTGGGGTTCTTGCATCTCATTGGAGTGTGACTGCATGCACCCTGAACCATTCATCTCTTTATCCAAATGTAGAAAAAAGTTTTTGCTTTTCATACACTTTAAATTCCAGGCAAATATAAAATAATTAAATAAACACAGCTCTGTAATCGTTGATACATCATTACATGTATTCTTTATATGCAAACAGTGCAAGTACCTGAATTTGACATTGTTTTAGTTTCTTTCAGTCTCTGTACAGCAGAGCTGAAACTTGGAGAGGGAGAAGCAGCACAAGGAGGCAGTCAGTTGTGCTGTATGGTTAATGTGCTAAGATAGCAGAGTTATGATTACACAGGCAAGACTTACAGGTCTCTCCATGCCTGCCAGACAGGCTATCCTGTGTTGCAGAGATGTGTAAAACAACTCAACAATATGTATTTCATCTCTGTATTCTGCTTGTTGCAATTCAACTTAAAAGCCTATTTATTGCTTTTAAAAAGTACATATGAAGCAATGGTCAGTGCTCTAATTGCAGGACTTTTTCTCATGACATAATCAGGGGGAATCAGTTATATTTTATAATCATAATCAAAAAAAAAAACCAACATATTACTGATTTTGGAATTTGATAATCAAATACGGCAACATTGGCTGAGGCCATAAACATAACATACCGTTCTCGTAGTTTCTTCAGCTCCACATCTCTTTCCCCCAGCAGTTCAGAAATGCTGACAAAGTAATTGTGCTCCAGGTTGAGCAGAGTCTCTGAAGCCGGGGAATGGATGAGATCATGATAAATATCTGCAAAGTCTTCATCCCAGTTAGGCTCCTCCGGACGGGAATGTTCCAGTGTTGTCTAAAGCAGGGGAGCGGAGAGAAATTTTTCAACTCATAAAAAAAAACTGAATAGACAAAGGTTTGTAAACACTGTACTATCAGACCTACCTATGACCAAAGAAATGTGGGCTCCCCTGCAAATGACTGACTTCAGCTGTATCTAGTGAAGGGAATTGATAATACTTCAGCATACAAAGAGATTTTAGAGAACTGGGAAATTTTGACCTTGTGGTAGCAGTGTAGGGAAGGTCCTTTTATGTTCTAGCATGACTATGCCCCTGGGCCCCATCATCTTCATGAAGGCATGGTTTCATGAGTTTGGTGTGAAGAAACTGGAGTTATCTGCAGACGGCTTGACCTCAACCCTACTGAACACATTTGGGATGAATTGGAACACCAACTGAAAACCAGGTCTTTTCATTCAACATCAGTAACAGAGCTCATAAATGTTCTTTTGGCTAACTGGGAGCAAATTCCCACAGACACAGTCCAAAATCCCATAGAAAGCTCTCATGTATGAGTGGAGGCTGTTTTAGCTGCAAGGGTAGTAACTCTGCATTCATGGATTTGGAATGGGATGTTCACCAGTTTCATATACACTATATTGCCAAAAGTACTGGGATACCCCTCCAAATCATTGGATTCAGGTGTTCCAATCACCTCCATGGCCACAGGTGTATAAAATCAAGCACCTAGGCATGCAGTATGGGTCACTCTCAGGAGCTCAGTGAATTCAAGCGTGGTACCGTGATAGGTTGCCACCTGTGTAATAAGTCCATCCATGAAATTTCCTTGCTACTAAATATTCCACGGTCAACTGTTAGTGGTATTATAACAAAGTGGAAACAACTGGGAACAACAGCAACTCAGCCCACAAAGTGGTAGGCCATGTAAAATGACAGAGCGGGGTCAGCGCATGCTGAAGCGCACAGAAGTCACCAACTGTCTGCAGAGTCAATCGATAAATACCTCAAAACGTCACGTGGCCTTCAGATTAGCACAACAACAGTGCGTAGAGAGTTTCATGGAATGGGTTTCCATGCTGCATCCAAGCCTTACATCACCAAGTTCAATACAAAGCGTTGGATGCAGTGGTGTAAAGCACGCTGCCACTGGACTCTAGAGCAGTGGAGACATGTTCCCTGGAGTGACGAATCACGATTCTCTGTCTGGCAATCCAATGGACGTGTCTGGTGTAAGAGCCGAAAGGATCGGTCTTGTGTGAGGAGGATCATCGGGTCAGGCGTGTATATCTTCGGTGGCCTCTCCCCTAGAATTAAACAAGCATTTGACCTGTACAGTGCTGGCACAGCCCCACTGCATGGACCAAAAAAACTATCCTGGATAACTGCTTTAAATTATACACAATCAATTTCACGCACCGCCTTCCCATTATCCTCAAAAACAAAACAAACAAAAATAAACTAAGACACCTATACCAAAATACAAAACACTAATTTCCATATTTTTAACAAAACAAGATAAAGAAGTTATCTAACAATCCAAAATGCAGGTGCCAGTCTAGAAGCATCCACCCATGGTTTCCATACCTTTTCAAATCTACCTGTACACCCCCTCCTTACGTAGGCAAGTTTTTCTCATATTAGCGTACTATTAACTACTCTAAACCCTACTCCCTCTACTACTCTAAATCTGAGTAAGAGGGTGGCGGGGGGGCCATCCATTTCTGGGGAATCAACTTTATAGCCTGATAGAGACACTGCAGCACTGCTACCTGTGTTCAAGGGGGGCTACTTGGTGTTCCATATAACCCAACACACATAGTTTAGGTTCTGCCAGAAGTGTTTCTCCAAATATCGAGCTTATTGTACCTACCACATTCTCCCAATATCTATATAATTCAGCAAATATCCAAAACATATGGATGAAGCCTTCGGATGACTTTTAATTTGTTCTAGTAAGAACGTTAATTAAAGTGTTACTAAACCCAGGACGCTGCATTCACTATATCTGGGCTCCCTCAGTACAGAGAACATGGAAATGCAATTATTATAGTAAATACAAACTGCTAAATACCTTTTCTCATTAGCAGTTAGAGCATTCATTCTCCTGTAGAAGGATGCAGAACCCCTGACCTCTGTCTGGAGAGTGCTTATTGGCCCTGTGCTGATCAAATGGACTCCCAAGAAAAAAAACAAACAAACCGCTCTTGCAATACACACCAAACTGTGCATGCACAGCTTTCCCCAGAACCTCTGTTCTATCAGGAGATATTCAGTAGACACTGGAAAAAGGGGACGATCAGAGAAGACAAGATCAAACATCCTTTTTACACAATGCAGAGGATTAACCGCTTAGGTTCCACAGTGAGTGTAACAAGCATGCTTTACTGCATATACAGACTGATTTTACTGTTGTGGGTTTAGTAACACTTTAAAGGGTTGGAAATCGGCAACAACTACCCTTCAACTTCCTGCAATGTTTATTAATCACTTATGCTGATGTAGAGCTTTAAAGCCCAACTCTGGGAATTACAAAAAGAAAACTACCCTTGTAGTGGGGCCCCTCGTACTGTAAGAGTTAATTGCTTGTTAAAGTGTAACTTTATGTTCCCTAGCAACTTTATATCATTTTCCTCCTGCCCCCTCCCCTATCATTTTTTTCTTTTGGGGGGTGGGGGGGGTGCTTTTTGGGGGACCTCTCTTCCCGCATTTCCTTAATTGCAGCCCAGGCCAGAATGATGTATACTTTGCCAGCAGCCTCCTGAGATACCCATGACACAAGTTCCAGAAGGCTGCAGGGTACTCTAAAGTGCATGTGCCGCATCAATGAGCCCACGGTCTACTTAGGGTTTTTGCACTCATACCGCCCCCCCCCTGATGATGTAGTGCAGTGCATGTGGCTGCTGTCATCATGAGGCTGCATTGCAACAAAAAGGCACATCCGTAGGGAACACCCCTAGATTGCCAGCTTTGTGAGTAGGTTTTTGGGGAACAACTCGGCTACACAAGAAGGGAGAGGAAACAAAGGAAGGGGAGAGAGGCAGTTAAGTTCCTCTAAGTCTAGGGGATAAGGAATAAGATGCAATACTTGCCATATTCCTAACTCTGGTGCCCTTCTCTGTGCTGGGTTGTGGACGGTCCCTTGCTGCTTCCGTAGCTATTGGCCCTGCTTGTGCTCGACCACATTATTGTGCGACCTCCGGCAGGAGCACTTACAGAAGAGGCTTTAGGGGACTGGTAGCACAAATGAATGACGCCAGTCACAGCGAGGAGCGAGTATTAGGTCTGATTTACACGCATTACCATTGAACTCTACATAACATGCATTTTGATGGAAGCACATCAAAGATGCAGCTAACATGTTTTTTTGCACCCAACATGCACTAAAACCGCACAGGTGTGAAGGGGCCTTACAACTTACTCCTTATGCCCTAAAGCAGGGGTGTCACACTGGCAGCCCTCCAGCTGTTGCGAAACTACAAGTCCCATCATGCCTCTGCCTTTGGGAGTCATGTTTGTAACTGTCACTCTTACAATGCCTCATGGGACTTGTAGTTTGGCAACAGCTGGAAGGCCTCCAGATTGACACACGTGCCCTAAAGTTAACAAACATTTATCCCTTGCAGTGCTAAGTCACTACAAGGGTCATTTTTTGAAATTTACGGAGTTGGGCTTAAATTACACCAGACCTTAATTGTTGTGAAATGAAATGTTAATAGTGGTCTTGTGTGGAACATTGGGGACTGATGTTCCAGCAGAGTTAGCCAGTCAACAGATCAGCCTGAACAATGATTCCCCCCTTTGTTGAGACACCCCGGTCACATGACCAGGCATTGGGTGCTAAGCACAGGTTCTGACATGAGGTATACCTTTCATATACACAATCAAGTTCAATCATTTAGGTTTTCTATTCACAATATACAGGTATAACTGTATTATAAATCTATTTCGCCACCTAGTGGTCATAACTGGCACTTTGGTCTGACCTTTTTTTTTTCCTGACTATACTGTGTAGGATATACTGGTCCGGGTCCTAAACACCTTTAACTCTGAAAACATTCTCTGATCAAAAATAGAATGCTTTAGTATAATAATGTGAAATCAGATACACTAGATTGAAAACAGTATGTAGACACCCCTCTAGATGAATGAGTTCAGGTGTTCCCAGTAAAGAGTACTGTAAATGCTACAGCTTACAAATACAGTATAGACAATTGTGCATTTCCAAACTGTATGGGGAAGGCCCTTTACTGTTCCAGCATAACTGTGTCCCTGTGCACAAAGAGAGCACCATAATGACATAATTTGATGAGTTTGGGGTGGAGAAACATAAGTGATCCTGACCTCAACCCTACTGAACACCTTGGAAACAAACAAGAGAACACCGCTCCAGGTAGGCCCACTCATAGAAAACACCCCACACACCTTCCAATTGGGTGCCAACCCAGCTCGCAGGCTACACTGGAAACAACAGAAAACACCCAGATGGCCACACATCTAAGAACAAACAGCCCGAATCGCGGCAAACTTATTATCCCCCTTTATGTCAATGACAGCCCATTGTATATGTCCATGTACATACAATAAAGTGGATCGTATTGGAGTGCGGCTGTCTGGATGTCGTCTTGTTTCCTGAACACCTTTGGGAATTGGAACCATGATTGTGAGCCAGGTTTGCTTGTCCAAAATGAGTACCTGACCTCACAAATGTTCTTTTGGCTAAATAAAGAAAAAATCCCATAGACACATTCCAAAATCTTGTAGAAAGCCTTCCCAGAAGACTGGAAGCTGTTATAGCCACAAAAGGAAGCCAATATAATGCTCATGGTTTGGGACAGGATGTCCAACAAGCTCAGATCATCTGGTGTCCACAAATGTTTGGCCATATAGTGTAGACCAGTGTTTCTCAACCTTTTTTCAGTCAATGCACCCTTTAAAATGATGGACAGTCCCAAGGCACCCTTTAAAATGATGGACAGTCCCGAGGCACCCTTTAAAATGATGGACAGTCCCGAGGCACCCTTTAAAATGATGGACAGTCCCGAGGCACCCTTTAAAATGATGGACAGTCCCGAGGCACCCTTTAAAATGATGGACAGTCCCGAGGCACCCCTTTACAATTATAGACAGTCCCGAGGCAACCTTTACAATTATGGACAGTCCCGAGGCACCCTTTAAAATTATGGACAGTCCCGAGGCACCCTTTACAATTATGGACAGTCCAGAGGCACCCTTTAAAATTATGGACAGTCCCGAGGCACCCTTTACAATTATGGACAAACTCGAGGCAACCTTTAAAATTATGGACAGTCTCGAAGCACCCTTTACAATTATAGACAGTCCCGAGGCACCCTTTACAATTATGGACAGTCCCGAGGCACCCTTTAAAATTATGGACAGTCTCGAGGCACCCTTTACAATTATGGACAGTCCCGAGGCATTCTTTAAAATATGGACAGTCCCGAGGCACCCTTCAAAATTATGGACAGTCCCGAGGCACCTTTCAAAATTATGGACAGTCCCGAGGCACCCTTTAAAATTATGGACAGTCTCGAGGCAACCTTTAAAATTATGGACAGTCTCGAGGCACCCTTCAAAATTATGGACAGTCCTGAGGCACCCTTTCAAATTATGGACAGTCCCGAGTCACCCTTTAAAATTATGGACAGTCCCGAGGCACCCCATTTTAAAATGTCAAAAACTTTTCTAATAGTTTTGTATAACGCAGCAACATCCACACAGGTAGGACACCCAACAGAGGTGATTTATTCTTTCACAGCAAATACACTTTTGCACACTGGTACTGACTAGTATTCCAATGTTTCTCTTCCCCCTCAGTTTTTCTCCATCACTGAGCCAATCTGACCCCAGCACTGACAGAGAGAGGCAGGGGATGATCAAACTAGGATGCTGGGCAGGCGGCTGTCAACCTTCTTATCAACTGATGATGTTATTGGCTGTCAGGATGCCTGCGGCTAGAAGGTCGTAATAGTGCCTGTATGCCCGTAATGAAAACCTGTGGCTTTGCATAACTAAAAGGCAGGCCTTTTCCACCCACTGACTTTTGTACAAGTTTCGGGCAATTTTTTGACATTTTGCCAAGGCACCCCTGAAGAAATCTCAAGGCACCCTGGTTGAGAAATGCTGGTGTAGACTAAACCAAAGTGCATTTATCCATCTCATTTTCCATATAAGAATTTTCTTTCAAGCTACAACATAGCACCAGTACTCTTTGATTATGTCAATGGCACCTTTATCTTCTCAGGAGTGTCCTGAAATGGTTTACTGTGTTGTGTCTAGGAAACCGACACACAGTACAAAAAAAAAACAAAAAAAGGCCCCAGCTGTGAAAGCTAAGAAAGACCGGCAACTATTCTCGCCTTTGCGCTATATACAGCCCCTGTTCTCGCTCACCTCTGTATAAGATTTCATCCAGGCGTTGGCCAATGTCCCAGCATCCACCTCACCTGACCTCACTGCCTCCAGGGCCTGCTCTGATTCTCGGTCAAAGTCTTTAATGGTTTCCTCTTCCACAAAGTGACAGAGAGATTTTTTTAGATCTGTCATTAGAGAAAGAAAAGCACTTCAGTTTCTCCGAGGTGTTAATTTGAGAAAGATTCTTTATCCAGGAGTGGAAGGCCGCAGATGCGCGGGTTATGAAAACCTTATGAAGTAAACATGAGCACATTTTTAGTTCAGTCAATTGGGCATTCTTCCTGCTCAGCTACAAAAAAAAAAAACTAAAAATAACTTACCTAAAGCTGTAGGCCTCATTCACACAGCAGTAAAGAAAAAGAAAACGCATTTACAGGCATTTGTTATCTATGGATCTGAATGCAGCTGCATTGTTTTCAATAGAGACATTCACACAGCAGTAAAGAAAAAGAAAACGCATTTACAGGCATTTGTTATCTATGGATCTGAATGCAGCTGCATTGTTTTCAATAGAGACATTCACACAGGTGTGTAAACATGCACTGCATTGCACTGTAACACACAATCCAATAATCTGCATCTAATGCCCGTACACACTATAAGAAAATCGTACGAAACGTTTTGTACGAGGAACGATCGTCCGATAATCGGATCGTCAGTACACAGCTTTCGAGAGCTGATCACGACAATTCGTATGACAATATCCGAAGGGACAAGCGCAAAAATTTTTCTTGTTCAGATTGCACGATTTTCGTTTAATCAGTACAGTAGTCATCTGAAAATACAATACAAATACAACGCAATACATGACATCACTTTCGAATATCTTTTCTTTCATAGGAGAATTTTTGTATCTTTAGTAACCTTTTCCCTTTCGATGTGAGACTAGCAGGAGAAAAAAAAAACGGCCGATCGTTTGTCTGATATTCTCATCGTGTGTACGGGGCATTAGGCGTGCGTATACATGTACACAGTTAGGAAAAAGAACAAGACAATTTTTACACATTAAAAAAACAGATGAATTTAGGCAGGAGCTTTTCTTCAATGCCTAATGATCTGTAACATTTTTACGGCTCTGTTACGCCCATGGGAAGGTAGCCTTAGGCTGGCCACAGACACATCAGAATTTGAGTGGTTCAGCAGCAACCAGACGACTTTCTATCCATCAATGGGCAGGATGGTTGTACACAAGTTGATCAATTGACTTCAGTACAACCAGCCTGTTGGGTTTTTTTTCGTACCATCACTGCCAACAGCTATAGCCGCCAGCAGTGATCACTGTATTCTGACAGCAAGGAAACCTCCTGATGTCATAATACAATATCGCAGAGGGTGAGATTCCCCCCATCAATACTGACTGTGTTGGGGGAATCAAGCAATTTTCATTCCTTTAGGCAGTGGCTAAAGGAAAAAAAAATGCATAATCTATGACCAGCCTTAACTTCCCTGGCGGTCTAACTAATCAATATTTTTGAATGTCAAAGCGGTACATTGTTTTGCATGGAAAATTTGTTGTTTTATATTGTAGGCCTGTAATTCTTAGGAATAACTCACTGAAATCTGTCCAAACAAGAGTCTAGTAAACATCCCAGGTATGATAAAGTTTGAAACACGAAATCATAAATTATAATATAATAAATAATCATAAAAAACAATAATAATAATACATTTAATTCAATAATGTAATCAAACCAAAACACACTGAAAATTGAAATAGAGCGCCAAGTTCGCACATCACTGAGCAAAGTCGCAAAATCGTTTTCAGCGTCTGATGATAAATTTCCCCATGAATCATTATCACTCAATTCTGCAAGTGATTCTAATTTACTATCGCTGTTCTCTATCTGGTCTAAAACCGATTTTGACCTAAAGGGACGCTTTTTGGATGCCATGGATGTTCTCAAGTTTCCAGGCAGAAAGAACAGTAAAAATGCAGGCAGGGCACAGGACAAAGCACTCGGGACAAAATGTAGGTAAAATGGTTTGATACAGTAATGTAAACCTAACAGATTACAATGTATTGTGTGTATGTCATATTTTTACTTTTTTGAATCTCCAGCCGGTTCCGCCCCCCCTGCATCCCGACGCTCGCAGGGAATGGAACCCGGAGTACACAGAGGAAGGACATCGTGGGATCGCAGGACAAGGTAAGGATTGAAGGATCGCAGGACAAGCACTGCAGTGTAATCTCAAGTGCGCTCGGAGTTACCCCTTTTGGTACTGTAAATTAACCCCAGGCCACAGTCGGGATTACCGCTAGGAAGCTTAAAGTGATATTAATGTCTTGGTTTTTACAGACAAAAAAAACAAAAACAAACATGTTATACTCCCCTGCACGGTCAGTGGTTTTGCACAGAGCAGCCTCGATCCTCTTCTTTTCTGGTCTCCCGCTGGCATTCCTGGCCTCTCCCTCCTGCTGAGTGCCCCCAGAGCAGGCAGCTTGCTCTGGGGGCACCCAAGCAAGCACGCTCCCGAGCCATGGCTGTGTGTGTCCATACACTCACAGAGCCGTGGCTCGGCACTGCCCCCTATCTCTCCTGAATGGCTCACTGGCTGTAATTGACAGCAGCGGGAGCCAATGGCTTGCGCTGCTGCAATTCCCAATCAGGAGTGACAGTCGCTGGAAAACTGAGGCTCTTGTGGACATTTCTGGATCGAGAAGAGGCTCAGGTAAGTATTAGGTGGGCTGGGGGGGCTGCTACACACAGACGGTTTTATACAGTCATGCATGCAGGATGCATGAAAGCAAGAAACCTTGAGCCTTTAGAACCACATTAAAGTACATCAAAAACCATTTATTTTAGTTTTAGAGAAAGGAAGGATAGAAACCCTTGTTACATTGTTTTTTTTTTTGCTATCTGTGTCTTAGTGGAGAGATTTCCATTCATTTCCTGTTCCAGAAATACAATGGGAAGTGAGAGAGCATTTCTCCAAAATGAAGGGAAACCTTGAATATCACTAAATGTGGGGTGATTCTTGCACAAGGATATGTCCATTTCCTCCCACATTTCTCGACTGGTAAGCTGCAATATATTACATTTGTGTTTTAGATATACAGTATGTTAAGGCTGCTTTCACACCGACCTGTTTTTCTTCAGTTTTTGCACTAAAAAAGTGGAAGAAAAATGCATGACCATAAAATCCTATGAAACTCTTCACTCCGCTGTTTTTAAAAGTCCTACTAGCTGCATTTTTAGTGCAGTAAAAAGAAAAAGAAGAAAAAAAAAAACAAAAAAAAACCAAAGACAAAAAAACAAAAAACTCACCTCCCCATTGAAATGAATGGAAAACGCATTAAAAACGCACCTGTGGTTGCATTTTCTGAGTCACATGTTCTTTTTTTCAAGGTGCAAAATGCACTGGAAACGCAGCAAAAGTGTTGTAAAAATGCGGCAAAAATACATATGCGTTTTTACTGTGTTTTTGCACTGCAGCAGTGTGAAAGTAGCGTAAAGCTGAACTGCAGCTCTCTCTTCAGTCTTGCACAGTGGCACAGGCTTACTCTGATTTCACTGCAGTCAGATAGAGCCTGCCCTATATCCTGCTTGGAGAATCTCCAGCATCATTTAGTTCTTTCCTCCCCAGCCTTTCATTCACTGGATTTCTGTTCTTTCAATCATAGAGGCTCAGCATCCCATGTGTGTGTTAACTAGGGCTGTGTGCATGCAAATGTATTCTGCCTAGAAATGCACCCATTCAAACTAACATCAAGGCATTTTGATATCTGCATTACTCCTCCCAAGTGCCAGGGGGTAAGGACTCAAAAAGAGTACTGGGGCAGAGTGCTGTGATGTTTTCAGGAGCCTGCATGCCCCTCCCACCAGCCCTGATCTGCCTGCATTGAATAGAGAAGAACAGGCATCCAGTGATGACATCACTCAGTTTAAAATAAGGTATGTCAAAAAAACTGGAAGGTGTTATTTCAAATTTTAACTAGCATGTTGATGAGAGGGGGGGGGGGGGGCAGGCAAAATTAAAAAAAATATGCAGTACGGCGCCCATGGGATAATTTCACCTCCTCCCACCCTTCTCCAAATGTACAGTTCTGATGGCCTCCCCACTGTTGCTATGTGACATTATGTTTGTAACCATGTAGATTTCACCATTGATGTGCTCCCTCTTTCTCCTGTGTTCCTTTTTCAATTTACTGTTTGTATGTATATATATATATATATATATATATATATATATATATATATATATATATATGAAAACCAATAAAAATTGTTAATATAAAAAAAAAATTAAAAAATATGAGCACATTCCACTTTGTATCTTTGAGCTATGGCTAACAAAGAAAAAAAATACACACATACACAAAGATGGGGAAGTGTTCACACCTGTCTCTCCAGTAGCACCCCCCTGCACCAGAGACAGCTCAACTCCTGATCTCTGCACGACAGATTGCAAAATCCGCCCCCTGTCTGTACCTGACCAATGAAAGTGAAGAACAATCTTGCACAGACTGGCGTTAGTAGGAGCGCTCACCACCCTGACAGTGACTCCATACCTTGCTCAATAAAACAGGGCAAATCGTGCAGCAGCATTAATCGTCCATGTAAGTGATCCAGATTCTCCTGGACCGGGAACTGCAGGGGCACGGTAAGGATGAAGCTCTGAGACCCAGCTTGAAATTTATAGATAAAGTCCCTCTCTGTGTAACTGGCTTTTCCTTTTCCAGGCTTCATCCTGCCTTCATAATCTAGAAAACAAAATAACAAACAAAGCTCTAAAACGGATATACAAGACACACAAGCACAATAAAGGAGCTAACTAGTACTCAGATTTAATTGTGTCAACTTTTTCTTTTCAGTTTTGGAAAGACTAGTGATGGATCAGAGCCCGTCAGGTTTTATCGCTGTCTGTGTCCCAGCTTTGGAGAATCATCCTCTCTTTCTGTTCTACTGACCATTGTGATAAGTGACAAAGTGATGTGCAATCCAAAATGTTACAGGTGTCACTGGACCCCCAACCACCCACTTCCCCAGCCCACCATTTACTTATCACTTATGCAGGCCATAGACGGTTTGTTTATCGGCCGATTTTTCGTCCGAAAGAATAATCGGCCAATTTTCGCACCGTTAGTGGGGCAATGTCATCGGACGATTTTCACAGTTCCTCCTCATTTCTTTTATCGGTCATGCTGGAAAATTTGCGAAAAACGGTCGATTTTTGCAATCATTGGTGGCAACAGAATGACCGATGTTTCGTTTTTCGGCCGATGAACGAACAGTATATGGCCTGCATTAGAGTGCACGTTGGTGCTCCTTCTTCTGTGGCTGCGACTGCAAGAAACTTGGTACTTCTAAGGGGTGGAAGCATGTAACCACCACCCAGGTCTAGCAGAGGACCAAATGTCATTGTTCCTTCTGACACCAGCAGACATCAGGAGGAAGAAAAAAAACAAGGGTGCACTTAGAAGCACAAGCTGGTGGAGAGGGCTTTAAAGGACAGGCTCACTTTATGATTAAAACTCCCCATCCCCCTAACCCACTGTAAGCTGAAACCCACCTAGCCGGCCTCTTTCTTAGGGTGGTGGCATCCAACAAACAGAGCTCACAGCCTCAGGACAGAAATGTGCTCTGATTGTCTGGTCAGCAGTCCACCATAGACTTGACCGGTGCATTGCTCCAACAGTATGGGTGCAGCACATTCATGTCTACAGGATGTTACTGTGCAGGCAACATCAGAAAATATTTCTATACTGAGGCTGTAAACAACATGGGAGTCCAATGGCATCAAGGGGAGTTAAGTAAACACCTAGTGAAGGATTGGGGGGGGACAATGATCTAATAGATTTTTACTTGAACCACTTCAAAGCCAGGGAATTTTACCCCCTTCCTTCCCAAGCCAATTTTCAGCTTGATTGATCTGCTGTGATTGGTCACAGCGATCACATGGTACCAGCAGTAGTTGGCCCGTACAGCGATCTGTCATGAGCTGTGTCCGGTGGACACAGACGGTGACAGATTGCTCTCACAGTGTGTGATATGACATCCTCCCACAATGGTGAAAGTCCCGCCTGGCTGTCATTTTGCTATAGGCCAGACGGGAAGATATGGTTAAAGTGGAGCTCCAGTCTCATGTGAGAGAAAAAAAAAGTCAGCAGCTACAAAAACTGTAGTTGATGACTTATATAAAAAAAAAACAGGCATTCACCTGTCCCTCGATCCAGCGTTGTCCTCACCCCAGCCGGGTTCACCGACCCTCTGCTGTCCCTAGCATCGTAACTGTAAGCACCCGGCTGTGACAGCTTGCGTCCTCACAGCCGGTTGTCCACTGTGCATGCACGAGCAGTGCTGCGCATTGTGAATGGTCCTGCAATCTTCTGGAACCTGTCACGTGTTCCAGAAGGCTGCGGGGCGTTGGGGGGGAAGAACTTCCGCTTCTGATCGCCTAGGAGGTCAGAGAGGAAGTGGGAGTGGTTACCTGTCAAAATCGGGTACCCGCTCCCCAAAGGTGACAAGTCCTTAAAGTGGAATGTCCCCCATTGGGTGGAGCTTCGCTTTAAAGAGTAACTCCACTTTTGTTAGAAGAAAAGATCCCTTCTGGGTGATCTATGTAAATTGGAAGGATTGTAACAAATGTTGCTGCAGATTCCTACCTGTTTCTGCTCTGAAGATTATGTTGATGTTCAGAGTGAATCTGAATGGGAATGACTTTTTAATTATTAATCACTTGCAGAGGTATAATGAAGAAAGTTGCACTCTGTGACTCTGCAGAAGGATTGTAACAAATGTTGCTGCAGATTCCTACCTGTTTCTGCTCTGAAGATTATGTTGATGTTCAGAGTGAATCTGAATGGGAATGACTTTTTAATTATTAATCACTTGCAGAGGTATAATGAAGAAAGTTGCACTGTCTGTGACTCTGCAGAATCTCACCAAAACTGAAATTTTTGTTGCAGAGGGGGTCTCAAACCTGACAGCTGTCCCAGGAGGAAGCATGCTGTGTGTGCTCAGGGATTTCTGTGCATATACCGGGAACTAGTGTCCTTTTTGTGCTTTCCAAAAAAACACACACATGCACAGATGTGCCTCCAGTTTCTGCCAGCTCCCAAATGGTTGGGACAAACCGGTGGCTCATCTGCGCACACGCTGCACCTTGGAAGATGGCGACGCAGAAGAAGGATGGGGAGAGGGGACTGATACCCCGATCCTGCTCCGCTATAACTGAGGGCTGGGGTCTGTGAGTGGGCAACTCCCACATAATTAGGGGATGCTCAGAAAATGGACATGATCTGGGCAAGACCATCCAGACAGTGAGTGGGTGTGCATGTATGTGCATCCGTATACTGTACATAAGCATTGCGCATCATGGGCCATGCAGCCTTGTCATTGGGCATGGGGGAGGTATTGTGTGCTCACTCCCTGAATGAAAAGGCCTGTTCGCACTTAGAACGCATGGCAACATATGCACCACAGTGCGTTTCTTATACCACAGTAATCATTTTGCATTGCACACAACTCATCACTGTACACAGATGTGGACGATCTGTGCATTGCGTTAGAATAGGTGTGGCTGCATGCACACCAGTGCGCCCTAATGTCTGCAACAGAACCACTCGTATCAGTGCGACTACGACTTTGCAGTGCTGCACTGATTTGAAAAAAAAGGTTCCTGCACTTTTTTTGTGATTTCAGGTGCAACTTGCATAGACATCTCAGTATGAAGTTGCAGATGTCAGCCAAGTTGCACTGACTTGCGGCTTAGAAATCGTACAACTTCAAGAAAAGTCTCATGATTTCAAAGTGGGATTGAGTGTAACCCGAACGAGGAAAATTCAACATTTACACAAGGCCTACTGGTGAAATATTTACAAAGTCAGCTATGTCATTATTAGTAGTATAACACCCCGGTCACACCGATCCTGACTTTGAAATTGTTCGACTTACACCCCGGGGGGGTTACAGTGAAGTCGCACGATTTCAAAGTCGGGCTTGATGTGACCGGGGGGTTACAGTGAAGTCGCACGATTTCAAAGTCGGGCTTGATGTGACCGGGGTGGGTTACAGTGAAGTCGCACGATTTCAAAGTCGGGCTTGATGTGACCGGGTGGGTTACAGTGAAGTCGCACGATTTCAAAGTCGGGCTTGATGTGACCGGGTGGGTTACAGTGAAGTCGCACGATTTCAAAGTCGGGCTTGATGTGACCGGGTGGGTTACAGTGAAGTCGCACGATTTCAAAGTCAGGCTTGATGTGACCGGGGGGTTACAGTGAAGCCGCATGATTTCAAAGTTGGGCTTGATGTGACCGGGTGGGTTACAGTGAAGTCGCACGATTTCAAAGTCGGATGACATGCCAATTTGAGGTACGATTTGGAAGACATCTGACACAGATGTCTATGCAAATCACACCAAAAGTAATGCATGTACTCCTTTAGAAATCAGTGTGGCTCCGACCAAGTTGGATCCGCACCGATATAACCGCTGTAATTGCTGACAATAAGATGTGACTTGGCATGCAATTTGCAAGTCGCATGGTATGCAAATCGCATGCCAATTCGCATCCAGTGTGACTGGGGACTTATTGCTACTTGTAAAAGATTTTCAACGATTTTTTGCAATTTGCAGTGCAACTTCCATTATATTTATATGTATGTGAAATCACAACAAAACTACAGAAAAACTCCCTGGTCACACTGGGTGTGACTTGGCATGTGGATTACATGTCATACAACTTGCAAACTGCATGGCAAGTTGCACCCTATTTTCTGCAACTACAGCAGTCATATCAGTGTGGTTCCAACTTGATCGGAGGGCGCAGCGATTTCTAAAGAAGTGCATGTACTACTTTACACCAAGTCGGAACCGCACCGATATGACTGCTGTAGTCGCGGACAATAGGGTGCGACTTGCCATGCGATTGTGTGACCGGGGACTTATTGTTTTTACAGGTGTTTAATACTACTATGGAGCCCCTAACCCATCCTAGGCTGGGGGGGAGTCAGAGCACTGATCACATGACCTGCCCCAGCTGATCAGCACTTCCAGCTGGTGACAGCGCGCCCTCTACTGTCCGCCCGGTCACTGCAGGCTTTACCTGCTGCAGACACGTCTCTGCTCCTCCAGGTTTCTGGAATATCTCTCGCACCGAGCGCTACTTTAACTTCCCACCATTCTCATCCCGACCACAAGCGACAGGAGCCATCTTCACCGACATCCCATAATCCTTTGCGCACTACGGAGAGTCTCTGCGACCAAGCCATCGCGCTGCATTGGTTTCTCATCAGCGGCAAGGTTAGCTCTCGCGCGCCATCTAGTGTCTGATTTGCATACTGTCACCTGCCTCTGTGGTGCCAGACTAGCATTTGGGACAATTCCAGAGTCTGACTTCTGTAGGAAGGAAAATGTTCTATAATTCAATTACGATTACGTTTATTTGTTTATTTCAGGTACTTCTATAACGCCATCAATTTATGCAGCGCTTTACATTCATATATTGTACATTCACATCAGTCTCTAACCCTCAAGGAGCGTACAATCTAAGGTCCCTAACTCACATTCATACATACACATACTAGGGACAATTTAGACAGGAGACAATTAACCTACCAGCATATATTTTGGACTGTGGGAGGAAACCAGAGCACCAGAAGAAACCCACACAGGCACAAGGAGAACATGCAAACTCCAGGCATGGAGTGCAGTGGTTGTGATTCAAACCAGCGACCCTAGTACTGCCAGG